TGCCCCCTGCTTTGTACAATTAGTGTGGTCAAGTTCCGAAGAAACAGAAATTGACACACACACAGAGACACTTGCCCGTTTGAATGTTTTGGGAGAGCGTGAGTGGGGGGATTGGGTTGGCTAGCGGCTAGGTGCTTTCGTTGCAACAAGCAGTTTTCACATAGCTTTGCAACTTTTGAGCAATCGACACATCGTTTTGCATCTCACGCACATACGACACCTCACTTCGTGCCTCCCAAGCATCCAACACCATGTTTCCAATATGGGCAAGTGAAGGCTGCATTTGTGTAAGAGATAGGATTGCATACGTATGCATACGACATAACAATATGTATTCACAAGTTGACTTCCAGTGGTGATGTAAGCCCTCAGTTGTTCAAATGCTTGCAACGTTGGAGATCGGAATGCACTGACTGGTAAAGATGTGTTGCATTTAATTGCACAGGAGATCAGGTGGTGCTTCGTCCTCCTCCATGTTCTGAAGGCGGCAACATGTCAGTCACTGTTTTTCCCAGTGCGTTGTGAAATTGCAAAATGCTTCTGGATAGCCAACAAAAAGAATATGGGAAAGAACTGCTAGTTTCGCCACAGCGAAATGCAGAGAAATGAAAACCGAAGGACAGATGACATCAAGGACCGGCTGTTTAGAATCATATGCTCCAAAACACTAATTTGAAGGCATATGTTCTTCGAACATGAAGCAAATGTTCAGCTCAAACAGCGCAAGACACGCAAGGCGCAGTTGCTCACCCAGCGGGATGTTTGTCGCGCAGCCTTCAAAAGGCTACCATTTGCTGCTTGCTGAAGCCCAAGGCCTGCAAACATCTGTTTGTGAAACGTATGAATTCATGTGATGTCTTGTCCTTTGTTTGAGACATTTTCGTGGCTTTCTGAAACGTGTTTTCGGATCTGTCGCAGGGTTTTGCCTCCAGGTTCTTCTTGCACGCAAATTCAATCATCGGCGGCCTCCGCACCACAAAAGGTGTCACGGCTGTCAGTGTTCAGTGACTTCATGTGTTCCAAATGCTTTGAGCTCAGTCTCTCACGGTCCACACATTAGTACCAGTGAGTCTTGTGATGGAGGCGGCAGGCATTCCTTGATCCTGGCACGGTTTCGCTATCTTAATTATTCATTCTGCGATCTCTAAGATTCAAGCGAGTCGGGCTTAGGGTCTAAAAGCCTAGCATTGCTTATGGCATCCACCTTCGCCCACATGTCCAAGTGTGCTGAAGCTGTGAAGTGCCGTGACACCCCACATGAACCGTAACCTGTTTGTGTTTGATGCCTGATGGTAGAATCACAATCCATGCTGAAATTGCCTGTATTCCATTGTTGGGGAATGAGCTTTTGTTCGTAATTAATAGTCACTGCAAACTAATGCTGGACAATTGTCTTGTCAATCTTACACCCTTGCTACTGTATACAGGTGAGTTCAGAACTGCAAAATGAACGCTTAGACAGCTATTCAATCATTCGGTGAGCCAAAGTCAAGTACACCAGCAACAGGGCAAACATGCGAAACTGTTGCAAGTGTTCAATCAATAGAACTTCAAGCGTCTTGTGTTTGGAGCCTCAAAATCTTTGGGAGATGGAAAATTCGCCAGTGAGGCATGTCAGCGGTGATAAAGCCCGTCTTGTGCTGCCAATCCGCAGGTGGAAAATCTAGGGTGTAGTAGAGCTTGAAGCGGCCTGGAAATTTGTTCAAGAGAAAAGTGCTCCACAGAAAGCAACCTCGAACAAAAGAGGCCGGTGAAGCAAACTCATCAAGACGACTATGTATGACTTCCTCACCATAATGACATACTGTTGCACAGTCGGAAGTCAGTGCTCAAGCAGCTCACTCAAACAAACAGCGCAAATTGTAAACGTAGGAATCGACATTCAAATACAATGATTGAAAGTCATTGGATGTTTAAAGTACATGACGTGACGACCACATGCTCTTCCAAGTACGCAACCACCGGGATCTCACTGTGGACTCTACAGCTCCCAAACACTTCTTCACACGAGCAGGCCCGGCCTCCACTGCTTTTCGCCAGGTCGTCTAACATGTCGCGACCTTTATAATGCTGCAAGAACATCCCAGCGTAGGGTTGGAAGTGAAGAATCTAGCAAAAACGTGGCCAATGCAAGTCCTTTGGCCTATGAGGATGCATTGGGGAGATTTGATGACTCTTTTTGCAGTTTCTGCACCACATCTGGGCGGGGACAGAGAATGTCATCTTCTGTTTTGTTGGCATAGATCCTGGCAAGAGACAGGAACCGGGAAGTGAGAAGTCCGTAGCTCGTTTTGGCCTTGGGACTCCTGCATATCTGCCAAATAGTCATGTCAGTCTTTGCACTGCAATGAAATCAAAACTAGGGCTTTCCGCTTAGTTGATGGAGTGTGCTTTGTTCACAAGCGTTCAGTAATTGCTTTGCAGCTAGCCAGGATGGCAAATAGAAGTTGCACTTGTCGCCGCTATCTCGGAGGGCTGCCTGCACTACCTGATGGGGCATGCCTTTACATCTGATTCGTCTATATAACTCACTAAAAGCAATGGCCTCAAACCTAATAGCAATCTGGCTCACTATGTGGCTACATCTCTTTGTCTCCTGCTTTGTGTCTGGTGCTATCACGCCTGCAACATTGGAGTCAGCCCAGTGCCACCTGCCAGCATGCCGACATGCTTCACAGTGACCTCGGCCGGGCAGGCTTTGTAGGCTCCATAGTGAAGCAAAACTGGGAAGGCCAAGGCCCGGACAGTCTTTCCGGGAAGTTTGAAGGTGCCGCGGCCAAGGTACTCATTGACCCCCAAAGGGCCTCAAGATTACTTGACTCCAGGGTAACAAATGCAAATGCCTGGCTGGTGGGATGTCGCTGCATTCCAAAAGTATGTGTGCTTTTCTCTGAGAGCTCCAATATGATTTCCTGAGACAACTGACCCATGATCTCCACCCAGTCGCCCGGCTTCTGACCTGGCTAAGTCAAAACAGGAAGAAAAGAAAGGAACATTAGGTTGGAGGCCATCACTATTAGGTTGGAGGCCATCACTATTAG